TTATCTAATAAATGTGCTACTGAGGCTGCTAATAAAAATGGAGTCGACTTTAACCCAAATACTACTCTGCGATGTCAGTAAACAATCTGTTCACTCTCGAATGGATATAAAAAAAAAATTTTTAATTCTATGTTGAAAGGTTATACTTAGCATCAGAAATGCTTTCTCAATATCTGAAGATAATCCTATTGAATGAATTCGAAACCTATCAAGTATATCTGGAATTATTTTTAGAAGTTCGGACCCTTATACAAAAGGTCATTCAAAGAGCATTTACCCACTTTCTCGGCTGACGCGTCAAAGACAGGTCTGATTTTGTAGTGGTACTGTCCTTAATTACTGGCCGGGAGGTAAAAAATGTCCCGTCTCAGCATTATCAGTTACCTTTCAATTATATTCAATTTTTCCCATTCCCTGAAAATCGTAGTATATTCTTCTAAAAATGCTTTATCTTGTGCTCGCTGGCACATCTTTTTATGCCGCTTCCAAGTTAATCTTTATTTGTCGGCAAATCGGCCACATCAGATTTAAAAGGTAAACAAAGTTCATATCTACCGTCTGAAAGAATTTTCACATTATTTTTAAACTCTTCCAAAACTCTAGAATGTTCTAAATTCTTTCTTATTTTCAATGGGATCTGAAACCCTATGATTCTAAAGACCATAAATCTTTATCGAATAATTACTAACATACAACGAAATTGCATTCAAAACAGTATCATTGCTATCTCCAAATGACTCATGCTTCCCAGTAACACATGTCCCAACAAGTTCGATCAAAATAACCCTGACTCCACCGAACAATTTATTAGTAAATAAACCGCCCACAATATCTGCTCCCAAAAGCAGACCGATCTCACGATCAGAAGAACCCAAATCAGACAAACTGACGCCTCTATCTTTCAGTTCATTAATAATTTTACTATCGTTCACTTTGGCACTGTGCCCACAAATTTTGCTCTCGGAAAGTGCTTCGATTTGAAAGGAGAAAGTTTCATCTAATGCCGAATCAACAAATTATAAACATCGTGAATCTGCGTTCGCGTTTCTCTTCCACCGAATAACGAATGCTTCAATTTAATTTGCCTTAATGGTTTTAAATTTAAATTCTCTACTAATTTTTTACTGACAAACGAATGCTGAGAACCTGTATCCAGTAATGTGCGTACTTTAAGCTCAACATTCTTAAATTTAATTTTAACTATTAGAGTCATTAAATAAACATTTTCTATTTTACAGTTATTAGTTAATGTACTGGTTTCAGTTACGTCCCTTTTAGACTTTTCATTTGCGCCTTTTTCTTGGCGATTGGGACACATTAAAGAATGGTGATTTTTATTACAGTACATGCAAGAATTTTTTACTCGACATGTTTTAAAAGTGTGTCCAAATCTGAAACATCCAAAACAGGCCCCTCTTTTAATTAATATATTTTTCTTAGCTTCTAATGTCATATTTCTAGCAGAAAAACATTCTTTAGTTGGGTGCCGTTTTTCACAAAAGAGACAGTTAAAATTGCGCTTACCTGGGCTCTCAGAATTTGATGTACTTACTAACGCAGCTGCGGTGGCGAAATCTAAATTTTTATTTAGTGTATCCTTTTTTTAGAAATATGATTAGAACCCAACCCAGTGCGGGCTAACACGACCATCTCTTCTCCTTTCACTTCTTGTTTCAGAAAATTCATCAAATTTTCAAGGCATCGGTCATCAGGCTGAGGTGCTTCTTTTAAATTTCTGTTTCTCTCCCAAGCAATTAATACTTCTTCGGGCAGGCAGGATTCAACTAAAGGCGTTAAGAAATCACCATACTTCTCTTGCGTTCTTCCAAGACTTTCTAAAGCTCTAATCTTGGTTTCTAAATCATCGTAGAGAGTGGGAAGATCCGTCTTCACACGTCCACTGCTTGCATTACGCATAACCATGCTTAGAAGATCTCTGGACGTATATCTGCACAAGTAAGTCTTCTCTTCCAAACCTCTCTCGAAGCGGGCGATTGCTTTCGGATAATTCGAGGCCGTTGCCGGAAAGCTCTCCACTACCCGTGCGGCTTTGGACTGAGGAACAACTGCTTGCAGGAGGTACTGGAATTTATCTTCATCTGGAATCGTCGGATCTTCATGGATCTTCGAAAACTGGCTCCAAAACGTCAAAAATTCTTTTGCTTCGCCGTTGAATTTCTTTAGTTCGATCTTCGGCAGTTTAAATTTGCGCTTCTCTGGTAATTCAGTAGGTAAAGGATTCTTCGACAGCTTTTCGATTGAGAACACAGTTCAAAATATTTATCTCTATAAGGCTCAGAAGAAATAAAATCTTCTTCATATAGCTTTTCAGCTTCTTTAGATTGTAGAATTAGCGACGTTACTTCCTTTGGGCAAATTTCAAGTCGATTAAACTGTCTCTAAGCTGTTGTTCCAGAATCGAAAGTAGCTTCAAATCAGGAATATCTGATTTCAGTTCTGCATCAGTTTTGTTTGCACATGTGGTAAGGAAGTTCTAGACATTTTCTTCGGGTTTCAGCTGTGTAAGCTCCATTTCCAATTTATTTAGCTGCTATCGCGCCCCACGTTGGGCGCCACAATGATACGTTACGTAAGGCGTTACGTTCGAACAATGGCTAGCTCAGAAGGGATTCGTAAGTCATCTACCCGATGAATTAACAGCTATCTTGTCATAAATGGAGTACTTCATTTAAACTTAAGCAAAAAGATTTATTTACACATAAAGACAAGTTAAAATAATAAAAAATATTTATCTAGCTACAATATCTATCTAATCACATCATGCAAACATCGTCCTTAGCTAACTAAACCGGAACTATTCGTTTTCCTCTGGCGTCCCATGACGTCAGTCTCTATCTGGCTTTTGATTCGTTGGCTTAGTGATGCCATTCCCAACAGTATTGAATCCGAGGAATCTAGTCATGTTTCGGAAGCTGGAAATCCTCCATTGAAAGTGTTAGGAGTCGCTTGGGACAACCAAGGTGACATAATTTACTTTGATGTAAAAAATTTGATAACATTTCTCTCAAAACAAGTTAATACTAAACGTTTCGTCCTACAAGCAATAGGACGAATTTTTGATCCTGTAGGTCTATTATCACCGTTTGTACTTAGAGTCAAAATCATATTGCAGCAAATTTGGACACTTGCTTTAGATTGGGATGATGAACTACCAGAAAATTTATGTTCTGTTTGGAAAACATGGTGCAAAGAAGTTTCCAATTTGGGACGAAATCGGTATTCCACGATATTATTTTCTGCAATCGGTAATAGTGATGTGGAAAGAATTGAACTGCATTGTTTTTTCTGACGCTAGCAAAAAGGCGTATGGTACAGTAGCGTATCTGCGTATAATTTCTAGCAATGAACAAATATTTACGGTTTTTGTTGCTTCAAAGACTACGCGCCGCTCACCTTACCTAGGTTGGAACTAATGGGAGCTCTTTTGTCAGCCAAATTAGGCACTAGCATCAATAAAGTTTTGAAGTTACAACCTTCTTGTTTTTTTTCTGGACTGATTCGAAAATCACACTTTTCTGGATAAAAGACTGTGCAAAGAAATTTAAGCTTTTCGTTAAAAATCGTATTCAGGAAATACAAAATTTGACATCCCCAGAAAATTGGCATTATTGCCCGGTAAATGTAATCCCGCTGATTTGGCTTCGAGAGGAGCTAAACTTCCATGATTTGAAAAACAATCCTATCTGGTTTCAAGGACCAGAATGGCTTAGAATGTCGTCTGAGTTGTGGCCTCGACAGAATGAAGAGAAACCTGTCACTTGAAGAAGAATTAGAATACCGCAAAAACATTAATGATATTTATGAATTTGTGTGCACAGCAGTTGAAGAAAAAGACTTATAGACATCTCAAAATATAGTAATTTAAGAAAATTGTTGAGAAATAACTGGTTGGATGAAACGATTCATTGGTAAAATTAGGAAAACAAACCATTTGACAGGTCCATTAAAGACTGAAGAAATAGTAGATGCCGAAAATTATTGGATTCGATCTGAACAAGAACGTTTTTATCCCGAAAGAAGTTGAGTCTCTGAAGAAAAGCGAATAAAGTCGAAAAGAAATCATCTTTATATCTTTTTAACCCATTTTTAGACCAGAACGGGATACTGAGAGCAGGTGGAAGATTAGAACATTCTAGTTTGTCACATGATGAAAAACATCCGGCAATTCTTTCAAGAGACTCCTGGCTAACGAATTTGATAGTAGAAAGTGCACATGTTAAAATGATGCATGGAGGAGTAGCAACGACCTTAGCTGAAATTCGAAGTCGCTTTTGGATCCCAAAAGGACGTCAATTTATCAAGAAAATAATAAACAAGTGTCTTATTTGTAAAAGATATTCATTGAAGTCTGCTGACCAGACCACTTCTCAACTTCCAGAAGACAGAATCAATGAGACACCACCATTCTACGTGTCTGGCATCGATTTTGCTGGACCGATTTACGTAAAAAACATCGAAGGAAGTCAAAAAGCCTATGTAACATTATTTACATGCGCTATCACTAGAGCCATACATCTGGAACTTGTACCGAATCTCTCTACAGATTCTTTCTTGATGGCATTCAAAAGATTCACATCTAGGAGAGGCAATTGTCGAGTAATTTATTCGGACAACGCAAAAAACTTTTAAAAAGGGAAAAAAAGGAACTCGAAAATTTCTCTAAACTATTGTCGAATGAGAAATTCCAAGATTTTCTGTCTCGAATGAAAGAATCAGTTTGGAAGTTTATAATAGAACGAGGGGCTTGGTGGGGAGGCTTCTACGAGAGATTAGTAAAATCAGTGAAAGAGTGCTTAAGAAAAATTCTCGGTAAAGCTTTACTAACGTTTGAAGAATTGTCAACAGGTTTTAGCACAAGTTTTTAGCACAAGAAGCTGTTTTGAATTCTTCGTCCTTTGACATATGTGTACAATGACCACAAGGAACCGTTGCCACTGAAGCCAGTCAATTTTTTGATTTTTGGAAACAAAGATTCTACATTACCTATTAACTTTAACTCCATTGTTAAAGATGGCTCTACCAAGTCCTCTCTGACCAAAAGAAAGATTTATCAAGATTTATTGGTTAGACAATTGTGGACTAAATGGAAAAAAACAATATTTGATGGATCTTCGGACAGCTCATCAATTAAAAAATCCTAACGTTTATGATGATCTAAAAGTTGATGATCTTGTATTAATTGAAGGCAACAATAAGTGCAAACTTTTGTGGAATTGTGGTAGAGTGATAAACGTTTTTCGTGGTCGTGACAACAAAGTTCGTTCTTGTGAACTAAAAACTGCTGATGGAACAATAATAAAACGACCAGTTCAATTATTATATCCTTTAGAACTTTACAAAATTTTTTTTATTGTTTAATAATATGAATATGTTTTATGCAATTGTTTATATTACTAGTTTAATTTCATATGCTTAGATTAAGAATAGTTTAGATTTACTAAAGTAGTGTCAAATTATATTTGATGATAACATACCTTTTTTAGAATTTAGTGATTATAGTTTGAATATATTTTCTATTCATTTAATATACTTATCAATAGTTTTATAATTATATGTTAAAATACTTATTGCTATAAATTTGATTCTTGTTAGATTGATGTGAACTCTTGACAGAGTTCAGGTGGGGAGTGTGTGGAAATTATTTTGATTAATTGATAGATGGCGCTAGCGTTGCGTGTTAACGCGACGCGACGTGCCTTCTGAATTTCCAGAGAAGACTCTCCACCGGCAGCTTCGATAGATGGGTGTCTGATGCTTCGCCCACTATTTGATTAGGAGCACTTCAGTTCCTATTTGATTTCGATTTCGATTATGAAAGCATATAGATTTGTTTGTCAACTGAACCACCATGTTTGATCTATGATCTGTAAATATTGTACATATTAAAAGTTACATTTAAAAAGTGATTGATGTCGATTTATAGATCTTAGAATATTTTGAAACAATACCTCAACACATACCTCAACATATGTTTAATACCTCAACATATGTTTGCAATGTTGAAGGATAAATTGATGACGTAGGTATACTGCTCCCATAACAAAGAGCAATCTCGGCAAGTGATGTGGATTAAATATTTACTTTTATTTCAATATTTTACGGACGCAAACAAATTGGCACAATAATCGAGTCTTTTCAAAGAACATTTACATTTTAAATATAATTGTGATAGAAGAAAACAGCGACTGCAGCTGATATAAAGCGCTTAAGCAGCGCCTGCTGCTGCTAAACTGCTATAGAAACATAAGCAAACAGAGATACTCAGGTCGCTGCAAAATATTGAAATTCTGAAAATAAAAAAATATAGGCTCACCAAATTTTAATTTTACGTAATACAGAGGTTCCTGAACAAAGGAGAAAAAAAGTAAATCATTCGCAAGTAAATAAATAATAAATACGCAAATTGGCCTAAATTGCATGTAATTCTATTTTTCTAGTCTAAGGGATTAAAACTTATAAACCATATATATGAACACAAAAAGTCTGAAAGCTTTCACATTTTATATTACGCTCAAAGGAGCTTTTTTTTAAAAATTTATTCACGCGAACATACACGTTTCGAGTGCATTTGGGCTAATTCCCCTATGGACTAAAACATATAAAACAGCATATCTTTAGAATATCCGATAGATACTTTCGCGCGCTGGAGGTAAAAATGCTTATTTCGTACAGAGTTGCCACTACTCGCTTTAAAATCGTTGAGTTCTTTAATAAAAAATTCGTTAAAGTTTTACGAAATATGAAAAAGATAACAAAAAAAATTCGAAATTAAAAATTCGAGCTTTTAGATCTCCATATTCGGGTAGAGGACTACGTTATTCAAAATTTGATGTATGAGGGCAGATTAAAAAGTAAGTTTCACTTCCAAGTTATGACCATTTATTAAATTGTCGATACAAAGCCAACACGACTATGATAGCATACAAGGTAGATTTACTTTTCCACATAGTTCCCAAGAGATTTTAAACATTTCTCCGAACGGACAGCCAACGTTTCGATTCCAAATGCAGAGAAATCTCCTCCAGCGCTACGTAACCACATGGAGACAGCTGCTTTTACTCCTCATCATTTCGGAATCGTTATCCACCGAGATCCTTTTTAAGCTTACCGAAAACAAGAAAGTCACATGGGGCTAAATCGGGACTGTATGGAGGACTTTGCCATACCTCCCACTTGAATCGCTGCAGCAGGTCGCACGTTTGGCGGGCCTTGTGAAGTGTTGCGCTATG